TACTTCATCATTTGTGACGGCCATAAACAAGTTTTGTGCATCTTTATTGTCAAGAAACTTCAAAGTAGATTGTTGGATAGCGCCATCTTCTGAAAAAACTGTCAATTGATATTTCCAGGTATGTTTGCCACCATAACCAGAAAGAACATACACCACGCCGTTGTTATCGACAGTCATACATCTAACCTGCCAATCATCAATCTCCCATTTTACTTTACACCACGGTTGAAATTCTCCTGTTTCACTGTCGAGTTTTTGGAGATTGTTTTCAAAAAAAATTAGCTTTTCTCCGTCGTTAGTCAAAGCGATTTCTTTGTGGACAAATAAGTTACCTTTATCCTCACAAAAATGATATTTGCGCCAAGGTGTGGAGGAACTCGTGATTCTTTCAATTTTTTTAAAATATAAAGGATGAAACTTGCGCTCACCAGATTGAATCAATGGCCAATCAAGAACGGCGTACCTTTGGGATGTTTCCGTTGCAATGAAATTGGCCAATAATAAATTGATCATTAGTATATCTTCAAGATTTTTAGCCGTCGTTCTTTTGAAAATTTTGGGTTGTGGATTTGAAAATAGCTTTCCAACCTCTGGCAATGAGTTTAAGTTTCTTAAGTGCACCTTGGACACCTTCCCTGCTGCATTGCTATCATTAAAATGTTGAAGGATAGAACTTGCGATGCAAACCTTGCACATTGTTATTTTCTCTTCAATATTCAATGATTCATCATGAAATGCCGAATTTGCTTCGTTTCCCGCCAGTATAAACGACGTTTGAGCTAACTTAAGTCGCTCTTGTTTTTTTAATAATTCCGATTCTTCAGTTGTCTCGGTAAGGCTGAGTCGTTGAAATCCCAAATCGAAATGATCGAGACTGCTTTTAAGCTCTTTCATTGATATTGATTTTAGTCTTGTCAGTTCACCCTTGACTATACCCAGCAAATCCAATAACTTCATCGTGTGTGCTGGAATCCCCGTGAGTAAAGTCAAACCTATTGATATTGGATCCATAGCTAGTTCAATATGTCTTCAATAAGCTCCGTTGTGACTAATACTCAGTTTTTTATAACAATCTAAAATAGTTTTCGAATATGGCAAAAAATTACTCTAGATGTTAAACAGTTAATCAACTATATGCTATTGTAACATATTTGTTTATAGGAAAAGACACATGATGCAAACTTTGGGTAGTAACAATGTAATAAGTGATGATAAGATGTATAATTTGTTTCACTCTTTTGGAGCACAATCCACCTACGCAATCCAGATACCAGACAATATTACTAATTTAATGCCTCCAGTAGCTGACAAACAATCTGTTTCATTAACTAGAGATTATGAGTAAGCATAAATATATGATAAATTGGAAAATATCTTAGATGCTCTCTGCATGTCTAATAACCTCTATCCACGAATCAATTTCAAAATTACTGTAAATATACATCATTTAATTGACGTTCTATTCAAGTATTTTCCGCCGTCGTTATGAAGAGGGGTTGCATTTAGTAAATATTTTGGTTGACTGCTTAACACAGGTTTTATTATTGGTGTAAATAATCTCCTTTAGAGTGGGCGTTAGCTTAATGTAGGCGACTGTTTAGTAGAGGTATTTTTTATAGTGATTTTATCTCAGGTATTTTGGGCTGCATCATGTCACCGCTTTTAAAACGACTCGGCATGGTAGATAGATTTGATGAAGAGAAGGACTGGTGATGCATTAAATAAACTAGGATACTGTTATGAACCCCTGTACGGTTGATGTTTAGATTGTTGCTCTCAACTATTCACTGTTTCTCAAATTTTTCTTAAAAACTTTGAGTTCTTTTACTTCTAATAAACAGATGCTCAAATTCGTTTAAGGCCGGTTTACACGAGCAATTTTGATGTGATAATTTTTATGCGACAAATATATTTGACCGTGTTTAAAAATCGCGAGGAATGCTAATTTTGAAACCATCACAGCTGGAAATATGTATAGAAAAAATGATTGCGGTAGATTTCTGTTTGAGCGCTAAAAGTTATTTTTGATGTAAGCATATTGTCTTCATTTCATATCATATACGCATTTTACTTTAAAATGTCATAACAAAGTGTTTGGAGATTGTCATGTCTTAGAATATTTTGTTTTTTTGAAAAACTTCACCAACGTATTTACGTTTTTATGCACGTATTTTCATCGTCATGGACAAGGTAAACAAGGTTGGGTGAATTTTAAAAATCGTATCATAGCCTGGTTAAAGTTTACAAGTCTATGTTGTACTCTGTACTTGGATATGGTCATAGAAAAATACGAATTGACGTTTCGTACAGATTTTTTTACAGCTTGAATACTTATTGTTTCAATCAATGTAGTCAAACGATTTGTGCATGGCGAAGGATAATTTAATAAGAAAACTGATAAATCACTATAGAGAGAGAGGCTTTTAAGTATTGAAGCAAATTTAAACTTCTTAACGCTTTTTTGTGTATCATTAAATATTTGAAAATGAAACTAATAATTTTAAGCGTACTAAGCAATTATGCAACACAATAACGTTTGTAAACTTACTTATATATTTGTAACTTTCGATTGTAAACCTTTCTCTTCGTCACTACTTTTTTGTTTCCGTCAGATGAGAGCCATCGAATCAAGACAAATGCTGTTTTCAGGTCGTCGTTGACAAATAAACACTTTTAAAGTATCTCTGCATGTGTAATGTTTTGATTGGAAGAAGTTGTGAATTTTTAATTGACTTATTATTCGTGCATGAAATCATCGTTATTAATTTATATATCTAGATCATGACATATATATTTGAAGAAATGGCAAGTAAATTTTTTAAGGCTACTATATGTTTTCTAAATCTCGAATAACTCAACAAAGAAAACGCTCCATGTTTGTTTAATAAGTAGCTAGCTTATTCAGTCATGTACAACTTTAAAGTTTCTTCTTTCAAATGACTTCAAGCAAACCTTTATATTTAACGGTAACTTTTGATGATAGCTTTGTGGTTCTTATAATCGAGATGGCCGCTAATGGGGTACACAAAGATAGACATATGGAGAGCATTCAGATTTGTTATGAATCACTAACTACAATTAACAAAATGACTTAAGCTAATAACGAAACAAAGTCGAAAGATATAAATTATTCTAAAATTGGAACATGTTCGATTCATGTGCATTTGCTACGTTGAATTTAGTATAAACACGTAGAGAAAATAATTGGTTTTATAGATATCGATATAAGGAAAATTTTTCATTTCCGTTAAAAAGTGCATAGTGTCGCCGATGCTCAGCATGATGCATGCATTATGATTTTGTCTACGAAGCAATACCTGACTTGTTTAAATGTACATCGTATTCTTTGTTGATTTTAGATATTTTCTGCTGTCCTCTTGAAAAGGAGTTGCGTCCATTAAAAAACCCAAGCGGCTGTCTTATAAGGGGAGAGAACACTGGGGCATGAAGCATTTAATGACACGTACCATAATATGTTATGAGACCTTTGCACTTTTGATAATTTTAACACCGTTCTTAACTTTCTTCAAATTTGCAATTATCAGAGCAGGAAAAACATCAATCAATTATAGTTAACTTTAGTTGTTATTTAAGCTATAAAAGTTGTTGTTAATGAAGATCTAATGTCATCGCCTTGTTTATTGTAGACAATAGAGAACAAGTTATTCTGGAATAACAAGCTATTTTCGAATTGTCTTGTGTTTGCCCAGTATATTGCTTCTAAGAAACCGGACACGAAAACTGCTTTCACTTTGATTATATCTTAACTTATTTATGATCCACTTTCATTACTTTATGTAGACCTGACTGGCTCGAAGTTCGCAAACACTTAGAATACGAGTTATTTTTTAAGTCCAGGATTGGTCTGGTACATCACATACGGTCATATCGTCAGTAATTAATAGAATTGTCGTTCTATTTAAGTATTTTCCGCCGTCGTTATGAAGAGGGGTTGCATTTAGTAAATATTTTGGTTGACTGCCTAACACAAGTTTTCTTATTGGTGTAAATAATCTCCTTTAGAGTGGGCGTTAGCTTAATGTAGGCGACTGTTTAGTAGAGGTATTTTTTATAGTGATTTTATCTCAGGTATTTTGGGCTGCATCATGTCACCGCTTTTAAAACGACTCGGCATGGTAGATAGATTTGATGAAGAGAAGGACTGGTGATGCATTAAATAAACTAAGATACTGTTATGAACCCCTGTACGGTTGATGTTTTGATTGTTGCTCTCAACTATTCACTGTTTCTCAAATTTTTCTTAAAAACTTTGAGTTCTTTTACTTCTAATAAACAGATGCTCAAATACGTTTAAGGCCGGTTTACACGAGCAATTTTGATGTGATAATTTTTATGCGACAAATATATTTGACCGTGTTTAAAAATCGCGAGGAATGCTAATTTTGAAACCATCACAGCTGGAAATATGTATAGAAAAAATGATTGCGGTAGATTTCTGTTTGAGCGCTAAAAGTTATTTTTGATGTAAGTATATTGTCTTCATTTCATATCATATACGCATTTTACTTTAAAATGTCATAACAAAGTGTTTGGAGATTGTCATGTCTTAGAATATTTTGTTTTTTTGAAAAACTTCACCAACGTATTTACGTTTTTATGCACGTATTTTCATCGTCATGGACAAGGTAAACAAGGTTGGGTGAATTTTAAAAATCGTATCATAGCCTGGTTAAAGTTTACAAGTCTATGTTGTACTCTGTACTTGGATATGGTCATAGAAAAATACGAATTGACGTTTCGTACAGATTTTTTACAGCTTGAATACTTATTGTTTCAATCAATGTAGTCAAACGATTTGTGCATGGCGAAGGATAATTTATAAGAAAACTGATAAATCACTATAGAGAGAGGCTTTTAAGTATTGAAGCAAATTTAAACTTCTTAACGCTTTTTTGTGTATCATTAAATATTTGAAAATGAAACTAATAATTTTAAGCGTACTAAGCAATTATGCAACACAATAACGTTTGTAAACTTACTTATATATTTGTAACTTTCGATTGTAAACCTTTCTCTTCGTCACTACTTTTTTGCTTCCGTCAGATGAGAGCCATCGAATCAAGACAAATGCTGTTTTCAGGTCGTCGTTGACAAATAAACACTTTTAAATTATCTCTGCATGTGTAATGTTTTGATTGGAAGAAGTTATGAATTTTTACATTTTCTTGGATGAGTGGGATGATGTCTGTTGAAATACATGCTCAGCAATAAATAGCGTTAATTGCATTGATTGCACTTATATAATACAATGTCAAAAAAGCATTTATGAACTAAAAGTCGAAAGGATTCTCCCTTTATTTGCTAAAGTGATTTCTTTGTTGATGGGCATCCCTATAACAGACGTTCATCCGTAATAAAATGAGAAATGAACCAAGATGTGGAAAAACACGTGATTTTTTCTGCATTTTTAAAATGTAGAGCTACATAACAGATTGGATAAAGTTTATGATAAGTCGGGCAATAAATATTTGAGATTGGGGCAGTTTTCACTAGAATACATAATACAAACAATTTCAGATTTGGTTAACTTAAATTACATTGACTTTAAATGATACTCATTGTAAGCTTAAAGTAGAAACGTTAATACAAAAAATTGAATAAGTTTTTGAAAGTTGTTGTGAATATTTAAATTCAACATTTTGCTCATCGTAGCTTACCATTTTTACCAAACGTATCCTTAAGTCTTAAGGAACCATGTTAGGTAATAGCAGGAAGATATCCACATAGCCTTTAATCTCAAGACAAATCTTGAGATTTTGCGGTATTACGATTACGAACCACCAAATAAAAACGTAAAAATGAACGAATAAAACATAATATTGCAAATTGTTTGTGAAATAATATTTATCTCATCTCCAAATAGAATATTTATTATTTTTTGGGAAATTGCTACTACCGCCGGGCGGGAGAAACGGGACCGCTAGCTACGCCACTGTTAAATACAATATCATGAGACAACCCAATTTTGACTGTATTGGTCTTTTTTAATTTAATAATCTGAATTAATTTTTTTAATAAGACACAAATCACTAAATAGAGGAACACTTGAATGATTTCTCAGAGAAAAAAATACACTCATCTTAGCTCAAGTTGCTCAAAAAATCAGGCAGATAGGTGACATTTGGGTAGTCTGCATGCTTATCGACCAGCTACCTTACATAGTTTCATGCACAGTATTGTGAATATACAGTAGAGTTACTGCATTGAATTTTTTTGTGCCACGCGTATTTTATTATTCATTTGATCAACATAGTTGCAGCTAGTCAATTACTTTTTATGACAAATAGGAATGATAAAATGGGCAATGGCAGCCAATTGTTTAATTAAATCTACAGAAGCCTGTTGCAGAGAGAAGTATACCTACTGTACATTCCCTATATACTGTGGTTTCAAGCCGAAAATTCAAAATTAGATCTATGTTAGATTCAAATTTTTTCAGCCCAATTTTAAAAATGTCGTAATTTTTAGGGATAAGGATAGGGTGCATGGTCTGTTTAGATTAATTTTGATGGCAATTTTGATTAGCTAACACATAACATTACAGATCTTGACTTTTGTTTTTGACGGAGACTGTTATCTAATATTGCTTGACTCCTATAGTTTTAACTTTCTGTTAGCGTTGGCAAAGCTCTGATTAATGTTAATGTCTGCAAATAGTCCAACAATGTTTTTTATACTAACCAGTGGCGTCTATAGGGTTTTAAGGGGGGGGGGGATGATATCGAAATCTTTCTTAGCTATTAATATAAATTTTTTGTCAAGACGTTATGATAATTTTGTAATTGAGATAAATTCTTAATTGTGATTTCACAGCAGGAAAAACGTCAAATAGCTAAATATTGTTGTATTTTATTAAGTTTAAAGTTTTATAATTATTTCATGTAGACATATTGTCTTCGAGTTATAGCCATCATGGGTTTGATCTTATATGTCCTTCCAACTGAGAGTACAAGTTATTTTAAACGTTCTATCTTTCTTCGATTTTTAATCTTGTCTTTGCATAACATGATGTTTTGACTAAAATTGCAATGATAATTACTTTCCTTTTATAATATTAAATTCTGAATATAAATATTAAATCCCAACAAATAATTTTAAACATAGTTATTTAAAATTAAAATTATTTGTTGGACTCTAATATTTATATTGAGAATCCGTTCCCGCCTGGCACCTCATTGGCAAAAAAACTAAATTATATAAAGGTATATTGATCGCCATTTTTATTGCTTTATGTAAACCTGATTTACTCAACTCAACTTTCAGAAACGTCAGATTGTAGATTACCAGGAAACAGAAAATCTTAGTTGTTCAATTCAGACAAAAAATTACATTACACAACTCACAGCTTCACATAAGTTCGATAAACGTTTTTAAATTATATAAATAATAATGTTTTAGTAGTTAGTTTTGGTCATTTTGATCAATGACTGATCGTCGTCACAAATGAGAACACCAGTGTTTCTTTCAAGTGAGCTGAGTTTTAATATCTGGTATCATGTTGGTGACAACGCAAATTGATTCATCCCAAGATAAAAGCCAAGTGATTAATACTGTGTGATCAGCTTTCCTGACAATAATATAGTTTGTGCGTTTAATAATTTATCTGCATTTTTACTTGTGCTTATGAGATTCCATATCATTATCATGGAAAAAATTTTGCTGTGTGTATGTATGGTAAGAACTGTAATATAGCTCTGTTCAAAGTTGTATACATATATATCTCCATCTTTTCTTGTGGTGATAGAGTAATGAGCGAATAAAACATCCCTTTTATACATAGTTGTTTTAAATAATAAAATAGAGACTTTGTCGTAGTGCCAAATCTGAAAATAGTTCTAAAGATAGCAAATACCATAGTGAATGGTAAAGTAATTTAATAAGTTGATAGTTCTTAAAAGAACTGTTTTAAGTTGAGTCGTTGTGTCGTTAATTTGCAACTATTGGGTAGGTGCTCTTTACTAAACACAGTTCTTTTAAGAACTATCAACTTATTAGATTACTTTTACCATTCACTATGGCGTTTAATATCTTTAGAACTATTCATAGTTGTTTCAGTTTGTATGTAGCCATCGCCTCAATGAATTTTTCCTTGCTGGAATAATCAATCAGACTGTGTAAGATGTTATCTGAAGATTTGAACGTTGAGGGCCGGATAACGTTGAACACTGTTTCGCATGTCCACGTAGATAATAAAAACTTTAAAATGCAAGCAGTTGAAATAAAACAAAAAAATTTTTGTTCTCTTTGAAAGGACAGGAATGGATTTTAAGGAATTTTTTGAACTATGGTGATTCAGTTTGTGTATGAGTGAATGCGTGCTTCCTATACTATAAAGATATCAACTGTTGAAGTTGAAGAAGCAGCTGAATAGCTGCTGTTCAGTCAATACAATTATTTGTGACTTGCTCACAGCAACATTTTCTCCTTTCGTTTTTATTTTGCTATATAATATATACATAAAAACTGACAGAAAATTATTTCATATATTTTGTGTTGTTCATATCCCTCCCATCCCGCCCATAAATTCATGCATTGTCTGGCGAAACGCTTTGTACATAATTTTATTACAACTATTTTTCTGGCACCTTTTTATACCGTTATAAATTATACCAAAATAATCACGTTGTGTTATAAATGGACAGTTTTGTAGCAGCGCTTTTTTGATTGCAACAGTGACACAAGAATAACTGAGAGTAGATGGATGTTGTTGTGAAAATTGGTGTAATCTGTATCTACATTTTTTTAGATCATATTTCTTTGAAAATAAAGATTTTTAGCATAGCATAATACACGTCAATAATCACAAACGATTCTAACCCCCCTTTCTCCTCCGAAAGCGTGGCTTTAGTTTTACAGTTTGCTGAATTCTTTCAAAATTTTCTTAATTATTGAAGAGTTTGAACTTATTCCCGGCCTTCAAGACGTAGAGCACACGGTATGTATGCTCGTTATAAATGATCTTCAGAGTGTCCCAAAAAGCCCCGTACAAATAATTGCGTATGCAATAAATTGAAATCTGCAATAATACAATAGTCTGCAATTCTTGACTTGCAATTCAGCCATGTCGGTGGTCTGATACAAAGAATATTTTATCAGTGTTATTGTTGGCACCAGCCGAGGCGGGCGAGCAACATTGTTTGATAAATCTCAAGAGAATGGTTGCAAGTCAAGAATAGTTATTTGTTAAGCCAGTTTAATTTAGTCACACTCTATGTTTTTTCATAGTCGATGCAACGTATCAAAAATATGACTGTATTTTGGTGGCAGTTATTACTCAGTTAATGTCACTTTCATTTTAAAAAGCTTTTGAGGCAAAAATCAGTGTATGATATTAGTACTGTTTTGCGTTGACTGATACTTCGCAAACTCCATCAAAAATTCACAGGAAAATTTGGAGCCCAGAAATTTAATTGGGATGGCAAAATAATAAAAGACTTCTGGCACGTTTTTAGAATATGAAACTATCATATATTTCATATAATTACAATTTTTAACTCGTCTCGGCGAGGCGAGTTCACCCGTTTAAGCAGGACAATTCGCCTCATGTAATCGGCCCTTATACGGCGTATCATGCATATATGAATATGGCCCAGCCCCCAATTATTGCTCTAGCTACGTGCCTGGCAAAGGGCCAGAACTGTCAAGTACATTGCATTATTGGGCGCAATAAGGCAGTGCATACAATAATTTCATGTGGGTTCTATTTTTTGGGGGGTAGGGGGACGTTCTGTATATATAACGACTCTTTTATTGTAAAGAGTATATAAATAGCTTTATTTGAAAAATAAAGTTTATGGATTCATTGAAACTGCGTTTGGGGAATCATTATAAGCTTTGCACGTGGCAGAATTGAGCTTCCCCGGAAATATTAATGTATGCATGCAGTATATCAATAGTTTGCTGTTTAAATCCATATTTTAAAAGTCAAGTTAAAGTCGACTATTTCGTGTATTTCAAAAATGTTTTATTCGTTTAAGGGACAATATAAAGAAAGGATGGATTATTGAACAGACATCGATTAATACGTCGACAATCCACAAAGACTAAAGCATTCATAAGCATAACATGCATGGGGTTCTGTCTAGGTAAAATTGTTGTGATTTTATGTGTTCTCTGGTTATGGTCGCCAATGTTTATGTGATTCAAATTCTTATTGTGATGGTTTCCAAAAAAAGAACCATCGAATCTCAACTTGAAGCCACTTTAGAGGTAAGTACTCACTTTATATATCTGCCTTTTGACTGTATAAGCTCATGCATATATATTTGATGCTATAGCATTTGTTTTTGTTTCTGGTGTTGGTATTATATTAAACCACGACCCTTCTTATACTTAAAAATTAATATATAACACAAACTTATAGCAAAGATAACTACTTCGTTTGACTCAGAATGACCATTTTTTTGTTTATCTCTACTGACAATTTGTTTTGTGTTCCTCATTTGTGTTTACGTTTAAGCGATTTTTTCATGGAAGCTGTATTTTTAAAAGCAATTTATTTAAGGAATGAAGCAAGTTCAATTACATTGTCCTTTTCAACGTTATTTTCAGTGAAAATATAATCTAAATGAGACAATTTTCCTCTCATATGCACTGCAAAAAGGAAAAACACAAAATAACTCGCGAATGAAATATTTGTGAAATATTCATTGATTCGTGTCAACTTGATTGAAAATTAAAAAGGAAATTGAGTTCTGGTTTGTTTTTCCATTCATCATTTGACCTTACAGCCGTGTGCACTCGAATAAGAAGATCAGGGAATGTTTTGAGAAAGTATTCCTTTGGATCACCAATTTTATAAAATGTTTCTGGTTGTGGTCTTGGCCGTGGTCGATCACACCAATGCTGGCCAACATTTCGAATAAGTCTTAAGCATTCTGTCCATGAAGAATTATAATGGATCTTATTGATTTTCCCATTTTTCTCGTACGTGCAAAAATAATCATAAACATCACTATCCATTTGACTTTTCCAATCTGAGGGTTCTCTATTCAATTGTTGAACGACACTTGAAAGGGCATCATTTGTCTTTATTGGTTGTTGGTTTCCAACTTTACACAACATTTCAAACTTCTCGTAATCCGACAGAAAATATGGGTGTTTCAACGCTTCGTTGGCTGATGGTCTGTCTTTGGGTTGTCGCTTTAACATCCACGAAAGAAGATCTTTGAGCGTGGTATCCTTGATTTCATCCAAGCCAACAGGTTTTCCATTCAAAAGGTTGTCCAGTAAAAACCGTTCAGGTCCAAATGGATGTTCCCCCTTTGTTGCAACATAATAAGCCACCATTCCAGCGTTCTATTTTTAATAAAAAAGATATCATAACTGTCACAACGTGAGTGGTTGATAGTGAAACGTTTAAAAAACATTTTTTTGTTGGTTGCAAAAATCAACAGTGTTTAAATTTCTACAACGATCACCTACCATAACATCAGACTGTTTCTTGTAGCGGGATGAGTCAATTGCTTTATTTCCTTCATTATACGACTCTGGAGCTATCCAATTTTTAGCTCCTCTCTGTATGCTCTCATATGTCGAAGTTTCATTTGATAATCTTCGACTTATACCGAAGTCAGCGATTAAAAAATTTCCTTGTACATCTCGAAGAACGTTTGAGGGTCTTATATCACGATGAAGTATAGGACTTGGGTCACTGTGAAGATCTGCTAAGCCTTTTAAGATGTGCCTCATGACTTTGGGAAGCACTATTTGAAGCTCATCTAAAGTAGAAGATTTCACAAAACTTTCCAACGATTCCTCACATAAATCTAATACCAAATATGCAAATTCATCCTCTGGTTCTTCTTCCAGGTAACAATAATTCACGACATATTTTGAACGCTTTGCATTAAAGTCGTTCAAAATATCTTTTTCTTGCTTGGCTTGCTCAGTGTAACTATCTCGATTAATCCGTTTTACTGCTTTTCCATAACCGTCTTTTCCCAGACCAAGATAAACACGGGTTCCATCACTTCCTTTGCCAAGTAAAAACTCTTCCGAGAAAATTACAAATACATCATTAACATATTTAACCTTTGTTGGATGTTTCTTACGATATTCCTCCATCTTTTTCAGCTTTTCATGATGCATTAATGATTTATCAGACAGTATGCCTTAAATTTTAAGAAAAAATTAACCAATGAGAAAACAGCAATGAAGGCATTGATGACTTGATTAAGAAGTATCTTAACTTTTTATTACATAACTAAGACTACTAATTCCAATTGTTATTCCCAAACACATGTCAAATTACATCTTACCCCTAGGACGATGTTCTGGTCTCAATTGAACTTTACGTTCGTTAGTAACCAAAGCCACTCCTCCGTTATCATGGTAAACCAGACGAACAGAAACATTAAACATGTCTGCATCATATCCCGTGTTCATAAGCACAACGGTAGACTGATGTTTTTAGTAACAGCTGAGAAAGTCTCAACCACTAACTTTGAAGCATCATCTTTAAAGTAGTAACCTGTAATGCACTTGGAGATTGGGGTATACATAATTTGATCATATTCTGTAATTTCTTCATGGATTTGATTAAATTTCCAGTCTTTTAAAAAATTTCCTTTCATGTTGTAGATGAGGAGTCTATAAAATTTGTGAAAACGTTCGTTTCGATAGGTTATCGTCGTTATGGTGTCATCATCAGAGATAGACAAACATTTCACATCGTCAATAATTGGGTAATAATAATCTCTCATCCAGCGAGGCTCCAGAAAGACTTCACCATTTTGTAACATCCACATAAGTAGACATTGAGTAGCTCACCGTCAATAAATGCAATGACAATTCTTTCATCTTGTGTTACGGCTATAAACGCATTTTGCGCGTTTTGTTGTCGAGGAAATTTAATGTAGATTGTTGGACTGTACCATTTTTGAAAAACTGTTAACATGTGATTCCAAAATGGCTTTTGTCTAGAGCCAGAAAGAACATATACCACGCCATTGTTATCAACTGTCATACATTTAACTTCCGAATCATCAATCTCACACTTTCTTTACACCACGGTTGAAGCTTTCCTGTTTCCCTGTCAAGTTTTTGGAGTTTGTTTCCAGAAAAAATCAGCAGTTCTCCTTCGTTGGTTAAAGTGATTTCTTTATCGACATATAGGTGAGCTTCATCCTTATGAAAATGAGATACTGACCAAGGCGTTGAGATACTTGTAGTTCTTTCTACAGACATGAAATATAAAGGATGGAACGTTTCCTCCCAACATTTAATCAATGGCCATTCAAGAACTGCGTGCCTTTGGGATGTGTGGTTGGAAATAAAATCTGCCATTGATAAATTGATCTTTAGTAAATCGTGATCGACTTATGTCTCCTATTTAAATTGAAAAATGCTCTCCAACTTCAGGCAATGAATTTAAATCTTTTAAGTATAGCATTAAATGATTTCCTGCTGCCTCACTATCATTTAAATGTTGAAGAACAGAGCTTGCGATGCAAATCCTGCACGCTGTTATTTTATCAGCAATTGTTAGTAATGCATCACAAAATTCACGTTTGGCTTTTTCTTCTGCCTGTTTAAACAACTTTTAGCGACGTCAGTCGTTTTTTTTCAACTAATTCTGTTACTTCTGTTGACTCCGCATATTTCATACTTTCAATCGCTTCATTAAATAGACTGAGACTTTTTAGTGTTCCTGATAGGGCATTGATCTTACCAAACCAATCCAGTATTTTAAGTACGTGTGCTGGAACACCCGTAGATAAACTTCTTTGTGTTAAATCCATTGTTAATGCAATATTTTGGGAAGCTCAATTCTAGATATTTGTCTTCTTTGTTTTGACAATCTAAAATAGTTTTTGTAATTAGCAATAAAGAAAGGAATTAAGGAAAGCTAGAATGGTTCATTTGAGAAATAAAAATGCACTTGTCATAGCACAAATTCTTAGATAACCTCCACAGAATTTTCATTAATGTGACAATACTTGCCACGATTACTGGTTTTACAATAGCAATAGCATTATTAAAATATTCTTTTGTATTTGACCACCAACATGGCAACCGTGACGTAAAATGCAATGCAGCTATGTTACCCAAACATTTAGGTAGTCTGGATGTTTATCAAACAACTACCACACATAGCTTAAAACTGCTTCAAGCCAAAACTTTGAAATTAGATGTACGGGTCAAAGCCATGTTAGTATGAGTTATTCCCAACTTAAATCCGAATTACCTTAATTGTTAGGGTTTAACACTTCTTATTAATTGTAACGACGTTTTTGATTGGCTAACTTCTATACAAGGGGCAGTGGGCTATGTGAAAATATTGTATATTATTTGTGAGAGAGAAGAACATCTTCATATATCAGATGAATAAATAAAGTTATTTCATGTAAGATTTCATTCCCAAAACATAGTGCCCGCGCAAAAAAAACGTTTTCGAGATTTTTTAATTTCTTGTAGTTTATTTTTTTATTGGATATCATACCTCTGCCTGATGTTTTATCTCAATTACTTTGCTTTTTTTTCTTCATGCAACAGACCTTTCAACTACACTCTCTACAACAGTAGTTACTTCACTGAACGAATGAACGAATAAAATATAATATTCCAAATTGTTTGTGAAATAATATTTATCTCATCATCTCAAAATAGAATATTTATTATTTTTTGTGAAATTTCTACTTGCGCCGAGCGGGAGTAGCAAGACCACTAGCTAACGCCACTGTTAAATATTCGAAAACGGAACCAATAATTTTAAGCGTACTAAGTAACTATGCAACACAGCAACGTTTGTAAACTTACATATGTATTTGTAACTTTTAATTGTAAAACCTTCAATTCTTCACTACTTTTTTGCTTCCATCAGATGAGAACCATCGAAACAAGACAAATGCTTTTTGCAGGTCTTCGTTCATAAATAGACAATTTTAAAATATCTCAGCATGTGTAATGTTTTGATTGGAAGAATTTGTGAAATTTCAATTGACATATTATGCGTGCATGAAATCATCGTTCTTAATATTTCAAATCTAGATCATTACATATATGTTTGAAGAAATGGCAAATAAATATTTCAAGATTAGTATATGCTTTCTAAATCTCAAGTAACTCGACAAAGAAAACGCTCCATGTTTTGTTTAACAAAGAGTTTGCTTATTCAGTCATGTACAACTTTGAAGTTTCTTTCAAATGACTGCAAGCAAACCTTTATATTTAACGGCAACTTTTGATGTTAGCTTTGTGGCTACTTATAACAGAGATGACCGCTAAAGAGGTATGCAAGGATAGATACTTGGAGAGCATTCAGATGCGTTATGAATCACTAACTACAATTAACAGAATGACTTAAGCTAATAACGAAACAAAGACGAAAGATATAAATTATTCCAAAATTGAAACATGTTCGATTCATGTGCATTTGCTGCGTTGAATTGAGTATAAACGCGTCGAGAAAATAATTGGTTTTATAGATATTGATATAGAGTAAATTCTTCATGTCCGTTATAAAGTGCATAGTGTCGCCGAAGCTCAGCATGATGCATGCATAATGATTTTGTCTACGAAGCAATACCTGACTTGTTTAAATGTACAACGTATTCGTTGTTGCTTTTCGATATTTTCTGCTGTCCTCTTGAAAGGAGTTGCGTCAATTAAAAAACTCAAGCGGCTGTCTTGTAAGGGGAGAGAAGACTGAGGCATGAAGCATTTAATGACACATACCATACTATGTTATGAGCCCTTGCACTTTTGATAATTTAAACACCGTTCTTAACTTTCTTCAATATTGTGATTATCACAGCAGGAAAAACATCAAGCAAATATAGTTGACTTTAGTTATCTTTTAAACTATAAAATTTTTGTGTTGTTGATGAAGATCTAATGTCTACGTCTTATATGTTGTAGACAATAGAGAACAAGTTATTTTGAGAGAACAAGCTATTTTGGAATTGTCTTGTGTTTGCTCAGTATATTCCTTTTAAGAAACGGGCCACGAAAACTGCTTTCACTTTGATTATATCTAAACATATTTATCATCAATTTTCATTACTTTATGTAGACTTGACTGGCTCAAAGTTCGCAAACACTAAGAATACGAATGATTTTGCAAATCCAGGATTGGTCTGGTACATCACATACGGTCAGATCGTCCATCAAATAATCAAAATTAAATTAGCAATTTTTTGTTTTGCAATCTTAATTCAAGCCTTTGGAATACCAACTGAAAATTTTTCATCGTCATCACAGCAGACAAGAGAAAGTACATAGGGAAACAGGGTTGAGTAAAGTATTAAAAATCGTAGCATAGCCTGGTTAAAGTTTACAAGTATATGTTGTACTTTGAACTTGGATATGGTGATGGAAAAATACGAAACGATATTTCGTATAGATTTGTTAAAGCATGAATATTTATTGTTTTAATCAATGTAATCAAGCAATTTGTGCATGGAGAGGGACAATTTACAAGAAAACTGATAAATCATTATAGGGAGCAAGGCTTTTAAGTATTGAAGCAAATTTCAACTTCTTAGCGCTTTATTGTGTATCATTAGATATTCGAAAATGAAACCAATAATTTTAAGCGTAATATGCAATTATGCAACACAATATGTAAACTGTAAACTTACTTATATATTTGTAACTTTTGATTGTAAACCTTTCTCTTCTTCACTACTTTTTGTGGATATTTCAAGCATGTTGAACAGTTCGTATGAACAAAGCTCGAATTCCATATTAAATATCAGTAACATAATCCGGTGTTGATGTTAGACAATATATCATTGCCCTTCAGTGGAAAGCGGGATGCTTGTAACAATCCATGTTTAACATCGATATTGGATTCATTCTTTTGCAATGAAAGCCGAATGCTGTTACTGAAAGGCAATGATGTATTTTCTAACATTAACACCGTATTATGTCTCTGATATTTAATATGGATATCGAGCTTTGTCCTTATGAACTGTTCAACATGCTTCCAAACAAAAATAAGCAGGAATATTCAGTCGATTAATCTATGATAAACCTTTCACCTTTTTACTCTGCTATACCGGTCACAATCCCGGGACTTGTAGCGTATAAGACTCTCTGCTTTTTATAGTAGACTTGTCTCGTTTATAAGGAAAACTGATAAATCATTGTAGGGAGAGAGGCTTTTAAATATTGAAGCAAATTTCAACTTCTTAGCGCTTTATTGTGTATCATTAGATATTCGAAAATGAAACCAATATTTTTAAGCGTAATAAGCAATTAGGCAACACAATATGTAAACTGTAAACTTACTTATATATTTGTAACTTTTGATTTTAATCCTTTCTCTTCTTCCGTACTTTTTTGCTTCCGTCAGATGAGAACAAGGCAAGTACTGTTTGTAGGTCTTACTTGATAAATAAACAATTTTAAAATATCTCAGCATGTCTAATGTTTCGATTGGAGAAATATGTGAATTTTTAATTGAATTATTATTCGTGCATGAAATCATCATTCTTCAATTTTATATAACTAGATCATGACATGCACATTTGAAGAAATGGAAAATAAATGTTATAGGATTAGTATATGCTTTCTAAAT